GTGTACATATACCACAGTTTGTTGATCCATTCGTGGATCGATGGGCACTTGGGCTTCTTCCATGACCTGGCAATTATGAATTGGGCTGCAATAATAGACTGGTGTTTCTTAAACTTGAACATGCATCAGCATCACCAGAGAGTCTCTTAAAAAACAGATTTCTGGGCCCACCCTAGGATTCAGTAAGTCCCCTAGGATTCAGTAAGTCTGAAGAGAGCCCAAGAATTCGCATTTCTGACAACTTCCCAGGGGATGCCAATGCCAGTCTCCACTTTGGGAACTCCGGGAACTATTGGGCTAGCACATAGGGCTGGAGGGGACAGTGGAGGAAGATGTGGGTGGGCTCAGACTGTATTAGGCCTTGACTGCTGCAGGGAAGGGTCAGCACCAGCCAGGCCGTCGCAGTCTGGCCTCTGTCAACAGGGCTGGAGAACCTGGGGTGGACTCTGTCCCTAGGAGGCTTATTCTTTTCTCTCTCTGCCCTTGTAGTGCTTACCGGACAACCAAGGTAGCTCACAAGGATTTTGCCAGCAGCTTCTCAGTCTCCGAATACAACTCCACCATCCAGGAAAGCCTCCAAAGGTGTGTCCAGAGTGCCGTGGCCCTGCAGAGGCAGTCTTCATTCCCCACACTGCCTCCTCACTAAGCCCTGATTGGAGGGCTGGTGCAGAGAGCATCAGGGGCATCCCGGAGAGAATTGCCAAACCTTGGGGCTACCAGTCAGCCTGGAATTTGGACTGAAAGCTGCTACAGGGACTGGACCTGGGGGGAGGGAGGAGCATCTCTGGGGTTGGGGCCGGGGCCGGGGAGCAGCAGTAGGGAACTGGGAGGCCACTGGGGAAGCCTCTCATCCTGCATCCTCTTAGCCCAGCAGCCCCCTTTTCTCAGCCCCACTGAGTGGGGGTTTGAGGCTGCTCCACCAGCTAGAACTATGTACCCCTCAGAGGGGAGAACAGGCACAGTGAGTGAGGGCAGGAAGGGCACTCACTGCATCTGGTCGCCTGCTCTGTGCTAGGTGGACTATGCATGCTACATCAAGGAGCTAAGTCACAGGAGCGTCAGGCCACCTGTTTAGTTGTGGGAAGATGCTGGGACAGTGAAGTGGTCCCGGGTTCAAAGAACGGGGATGCAGCCCATGTCACAAAAATGGGGGGTGGGAGTGGGGGATGAGAGTGGAGAGGTTTGCACTGAGCCACTCTCAAAGGGAGAATGTCCCTCTAGGAAGAAGGACATTTCCACCGTCTTGTACAAAGGGTAGCTTTCTTGGAAATGGAACAGGAACTGAGCAGGTGTCAATCAGGAAGGCTTCCTGGAGGAGGTGGCTAATGTGAGCTTTTCCCACCTTCTGTGTCTCCTCCCGCAGGTCTGAATGCCCTTCCCAGAATTACGTCTCTCTCCAGTGTTCCCGTAAGATGCTTTTTAAAAAAGGATTGTGCCCAGTGTGGTATGAGAGCCAGGGGCAGAGGAGTGGGACCCTCTGAGGGAGATGACTAGCCTTGGGGGTCCAAGCCAGAAGGCAGGTGTGTCCAACCAGCAGCCAGCAGGCCACATGCTTATTTTGTGAGGACTTTTTTTTGCTTATCTGGGCTGTCAGATATCACCAAAAGTAAGCAGTATACCAGCGGTTCTCGAACGACCCTTTTACAGGGGTTGTCTGAGACCATCCTGCATATCAGATATTTACCTTATGGTTCATAACAGTAGCAAAATTACAGTTATGAAGTAGCAACGAAAATAATTTTGTGGTTGGGGGCCACCACAACATGAGGAACTGTATTAAAGGGTCGCGGCATTAGGAAGGTTGAGAACCACTGCAGTATACCTTTTTTTTTTTTTTCTCATCGGCTTTCATTAGTATTTGTATATTTAATGTGTGGCCCAAGATAGCAACTCTTATTCTTCCAATGCATAGCAGAGACAAAAAAGGTTGGACACCCTGTGTATTACCCAGTGTAACATTTCCCCTTTTCCTGACTAGTAGGAGCTAGCCCAGCAACCTCTCTCATTTCAAGAAAGCCATTTGACTCTCCTGTTCATCATGAGATTATTCTTCTTGTGTTTTAAATGATAGAGACCCCTATCCTTATGCCCGTCAATTCAGGGTCTTATTGGAATTGGTCTGCATTCCTCAGCCCCTAAAAACAGCCCTAAGTTTCACCGCCATAACCCCAATGCCTGGCACAGGGCAGGGCACTTAGTAAGCATTTGTCAATTGCTAAGTGCTGGGCCGGGGCACTGAGTAAGCATTTGTCAAATTAATGAAAGAATGAATGAGTGGAAAGAAAGAGGAACATGCCTGGGATCAAACTTCCCACTGGATGATCCCGAAAAATGAACCCAAACGAAGTGGCTCTGCTTTGGCAGGAAACAGCTGTGTGATCTCAGAGCAAAGCAGCATCCATGGGTGGGAGGTGTCCTTCAGGACAAAGCGGCCCCAGCCTGCCCTGGGCCCAGGAGTGTGGTGGAGGCTTCAGCGCAGGATCTCAGGAAGAACTCTGGGAGAAGCAAGGTTCACAATTTGCCTCTTCCTCTTCCCCCAGACTGTGGACTGAGGGCCATAACCGGGCGGATCGTGGGAGGGGCGCTGGCCTCAGAGAGCAAGTGGCCTTGGCAAGTTAGTCTGCATTACGGCACCACCCACATTTGCGGAGGCACGCTCATCGATGCCCAGTGGGTGCTCACTGCTGCCCACTGCTTCTTCGTGTAAGTGCCAGACTGGGCGGGTGACTCCATACTACCCAGGACCAGGGGCACCAGGAAGTGCTGATTACAGGCTGAGTTCTCTGTAGAGGACGACTGTGGGGGTCAGTTCAGTCCCCATGGGCCAGACAGTGCTGGTGTGGCTTAGACGGCCCCTTGAAGGTCAGGATTGGCAATTGGAATTTGGTCCTGAGAGTGGGAGTTGAGGGGCTTGTTCTCAGCTAGGCCCAGGGATAAGAAGACCCCACTGAGGCCATCTAGGGAGAGAAAGGCAGGCAGGAAGAGGGACTCGGGACCCTAACCCTGAAGGACAGGGAGAAATAAAGAGGTTTTGGGTTGGTTGCTGCTTCCTGCAACTGGAACTCATAGGAGAGGAGCCCCCAAATCAGAAGTGCTATCCCAGAAATTGACGGTCTGGGATTTTGGAGAGGACGCAGTAGTCAGCTTCTGACACTTACCAGCCAACCTTGTCCCTTTGGGAGCCCACGGCCCAGGCTGGAAGGGCAGGAAAGAGCTCTGGGGCACCGGCCTCTCCAGCAGTGAGTCTACTGTGGGTCACTTCGTCCTGTCTACATCTCTCTTTCTGCTGAGTGTAATGCTACCGGGCTCAGTCCCACCTGCCTATTTGACCCCTGATGACCTGTAGATGAGATAGTGGGGGTACAGGAGTCGTGCTCATCCCTTCTCCTTGTGAGGTGCAGAGCAAGCAGTTCAGAATTTGGGGGGTAGTGGAGAGTTGCTGTGGACCCCAGCGTTCCTTTCAGAGGTCATTTCATCCACGCTCCTGCTTCCAAGCTCGGGCTCTGGTTCCCTGTATGTAGCAGATGCTACCAGGAAACTCTGCCAGGTGGGTAACTGGCCCCTGCTCTGTGGCTCTCACAGGACCCGGGAGAAGATGCTAGATGGCTGGAAGGTGTACGCAGGCACCAACAACCTGCAGCAGCTGCCTGAGGCAGCCTCCATCTCCCAGATCATCATCAACAGCAACTACACGGATGAGGAGGATGACTATGACATCGCCCTCATGCGGCTCTCCAAGCCCCTGACCCTTTCCGGTGAGTAACTCTGGACCCCCTCCCCCTACTCCTGCACCTTCGGCAGCCCTTGGACTTGGCTGCACCTGTCGACTCATATTGGGGCCCCAGAGCTTCAGCACGGCAGAAGTCAAAGATGCTTAGAGATTATTAAATGGAACACTTCTGTTTTATAATTGGGGAAACGGAGGCACAAGATTTAGAAATAAATTTGTCCCAAATGATACATCTTACATTACAAACTGGGGATAGAGCCAGGGCTTGGATACTGATCTTAATATAAACAGACTGAATTGTTTCACGGATATTAACTGAGCGTGTAGGGTCAAAACACGATGGAAGGCATTTTCCATATATAAGTTCACTTATTCTTCACAGCTGACTCTGTGGAGCAGGTGCTCTTATTAGCTTCATTTGACATATGAGGAAATAGAGCTTTAGAGCAGTGGTTCTCAACCTTCCTAATGCCCCAACCCCTTAATACAGCTCCTGTGGGTCACTACCCACAGGTTGAGAACTGCTGCTTTAGAGAGAGATAATTACCTGAGGCCACGCGTTGTAAGTGGCAGCTCCGGGATTGGACCCAGATTGATCTGACTGTTCCCGCTCAGCTCTAGGCTGGCAAATTGCTACACAGCCGTGTGAACGTAAAGCACTCAAACAACTAACTGGCCCAGAGTTGTTGCTAAGGGCCAAATAAAGCTACATTAAGGAAATGTCATGGAAATTACCAGAAAATCACTCTGAACAAGGGATGTCGAAGAAGGCATCATTCATTCATTCATTCATTCACCTATTCACTCACTCATCTGTCTACTTATCAAATACTGTGTGTCTACTATACGGATAGCCCTGCAGTTAATTGGCAAATATAACAAAACTGGCGATATAACACCAAGATACAACCAGCAGAGGCCAGTGATGAGATGCTGGGGAAGGACAGGGAGCTATGGTGTCGCAGACTGGGAGATTCATCAGTCCCAGCAGGCTAGGGGAGGCTTCACCTGATAAAGGGTAGCTAAGATGAGTCCTCAAAGAATTGATGGAAAGGAGTACAGGTGGGAAAAGTAGGAGTACTGGGATTTCCAAAAGCCCCGAGAGTTCCCCGGTTAGTCCAGCTATGCCTGTGCTCTGTGAGCTGGTATTTCCTGGAACTATTTCATGAATTACGGAGGCAGTGTCTGTCATGAGTCAGGGCAGTCAGCTCACCAGCATGGGGTGAGGAGGAGGATCCCTGGGCAGAGCCAGGATGGGCCGGGCCAGATCCATGCAAGACCCCGCCCACCCAGAGCCACACCATGCCCACCAGCTCTCCTCCTGCCCCTCCAGTCCACTCTGGGGACCCTGGGGCTATGAGGTGAGGAGTGCCAGCTGCCCTCCCCCATGCATACACACAAGGGAACTGTCAGTCTGCAGGACCAGAACAGGCCACTTTGACCTTGTGAAACCACCTTCACCTTGTGAAAATCAACCAGATTTTATTTCTTGCCCATCCCTTCTTGGAATGACTTGGAATTCCAAAACAAATTAAATACAATAGAATCTCCATAGTTGATCACCTCCCTACATCGACCACCTCCTAAAGTTGACCTGATTTTCACGGACCATATAGGCCCCCATGAACTTATCAGTATGGTACATCTAGTTCCTTATGTTGACCACCTCTATATGTTGACCAGTTTGTTACAGCCCCTTGGGTGGTCAACTTACAGAGGTTACTGTGTCTTGGTGTTGTATTGCCAGTGTTGTTATATTTGCCATTGCAACTGTAGGGCTGTCCGTATACTTACAGAGGTTACAGAAGTTTCAAATTCCTACAATCCAATGAAGGCTACTCTAATAGAGCACATCCTTGTCAGACTGAGGCAGGTCCTCTTCAGGCTCCAACAGGCCCCTGGGCAGACAGCAAACCCTTCATCAGAGAATCACAGCTCACATTTATGCAGTCCTGTGGTCAGAGCAGGTGCCCTGATTTTTGGTTTAGAAATCAGGGCAGATTTTCTTAAACTTGTTTGCAGGCCAAGCACCTTGAAGTCACAGTACTTTCTGAGAAAACCTGTGAAAACGAGTGGAATATAGAACAATGGAACACAGAAAGGTGTTACATGTTTTTCAAATCTTTCCATCTCAAAAATGGACAGGGAAAAGAAATCAAGTTTTGCACTTTTTGTTAATGAGGAATGCCATCCCTGCATTTATTTTTTGTTTGTTTACTTTCTAACAAACAAAATGTGGTGGACACTAATGTGTAAGGTCCAATTTATGGGAGAATTTAAAATCCATTCATCCTTCCCCTCCTCCCTCTTCCTCCAACGCTATTCTAAGTACAAAATGCTGTACTGAACATAACAAATGATTGTGCAAATTGTGAACATATGTCTACCGACTATAATTTTCCTCCCGCAAATTGGGGTTTGGTGGTCAATGCCCTAGTTCATCTAAGAACACCAGTCCTCAGAAGGAGCTTATGAAGTGATATACAGCAGCACCTTGTAAATATTTCTGAGTGCGAGACCAAGTTAGCAAGGGTTTTGCGTCCGTAGCTATGGGAATATGCTCTTCTTGCTTGAAGAGATTTCTTACCCTGTGCTGGGCAAACATTTGGAAGGAGAACCATGGGCTCTGGCCCACCAGCAGGTGCCCTCCCCAGGCCAGGCTGGACACACCACGGCCACAATATGTGGGACTTAGCCTGCTCTGATGGAAAAGTCATGGAGAGGCTCAGCCAGGAGAGCCAGTCTAGGTGAGGAGAGACCCTCAGCTGCCCAATATCAACTTAGCACAAAAGAACTTCCAAGGCTCATGCAACTGTCTACAGGGCAGCTGTGGAAATCAGATGGCATTGAGGACTCGGGCAGCACCTGGAAGGGTGGAAGGTTGAGATAAAGTGATTACATTTCTTGCCTGGTCAGTCCAAGGCCCTGGAGGCTTCAGAACCAATCTAGGGCAGGAGAGGACTCCTAGAGCATTAGTGTTCCTGACCTTTCACCCATTTCACCAAACTTCCAGTCTTGTTCCTCCACTGATGTCTCGAGGTCTTGTTGCAGCTCACATCCACCCTGCCTGCCTCCCCATGTATGGACAGACCTTCAGCCTCAATGAGACCTGCTGGATCACAGGCTTTGGCAAGACCAAGGAGACAGATGGTGAGAGGCAGAGATGCCAGGCTGTGTGCGTGTGTGGGTATATACGTATGTACATGCAGAGGCAAGGTGTCTGGTGTCTGGAGGCATGCCTGTCTAGAAGAGAGTTTGGGTAGATTGATGGGCCCGGGTGTGAATGTGTGTAGACAGACACCTGCATCTGTGCCAGTGCAGTTGGTGTGTCAGTGCCAGTCAAGATCACCAGGAAAACTCCTGCAGTTGGACAAGTTGGGTTCATTGCTCATTGCAATTAGGCAGAGTATACAGGCCACTGAGGATGGCGTGGAGAGCATCTCAATAAGAGGGTGTTAGGACTTATAGCATTTGGGTGGTTTAGGGAGGGTTAGCTGCTGTCAGGAAGGAAGGTCACACTATGATTTGGATTCTTACTGGTCTGATCTAGAAAGGGAAAAGAGCCTAAGGCTGTGATTGGTAAGGAAGCAGCCGTCACTCCTACTGGCTGGGAGAGGGGATGTTTGGTATTTTTGTGGTTTGCATGGTGACCTTGGTGTTTTGTCCGGCCTTAAGCAGGTGATGACGTGGGCTTGTTGTTTTGCCTCACTTCATCCTGGTCACACACTGCCTGGTCTGATATTGGTCCTGTAAGATTATTCACATTGTGCAGGAGGACACCGTGGTCTGGCAGGACTCGGTTCCACTGGCCTGTTCCATGAGTCTGGGCTGCTTTTCTGTGTGATAGAGAGATGACAGGCTGGGTGCCACATTCTTCTGATCTTGCCTCCATCCCTGACCAGCGATGTCACTGTGGGTACACCACTTCTTCAGCTCTAGTCTCCCCACCTTAAATAGATTAATAAGACCTGCCTGCTTAGGACACATGGTTTCTGAAAACAGATGAAGCGATGTGTTTGATGCTGCTTTGAACATCGTGAGCAGGTCGTCGTATAGAACTGAGCGTGTCTGTGTCTGTGTGTGTCTCTGTTTTATGTGCAGTGAACTGTGTCTGGAGTGAGGGTGTGCGTGTGGCCATATGCCCTGGGTGTCCAACCACAGAGAGCTTCCCTTGGGCCGGGGCCAGGCACAGGCCTCCACTCCTGAGAAGTGGGAGTCTGGGTCCTGGGTTGGGCCGCTGGAAGCCATGGAGCTTTCCTCAGTCTCACTGGCTTCCATCCTCTCTCTCCTCCATCCTCACCGCCCTGAAGAGAAGACATCCCCTTTCCTCCGGGAAGTGCAGGTCAGGCTCATTGACTTCCAGAAGTGCAATGACTACTCTGTCTATGACAGTTACCTTACCCCGAGGATGATGTGCGCTGGGGACCTCCGTGGGGGCAGAGACTCCTGCCAGGTGAGGGGCCTCTGAATGGGGATCAAGCCCCAGGAGCCTGGAATGGGGGAGGCTGGGAGTGGGGTTGGCATGGAGTCAGGCCTGCATTGCTGACATGCTATCTTCCCCCAGGGAGACAGCGGGGGGCCTCTTGTCTGCGAGCAGAACAGCCGATGGTATCTGACAGGGGTCACCAGCTGGGGCACAGGCTGTGGCCAGAAAAACAAGCCTGGTGTGTACACCAAAGTCACAGAAGTCCTCCCCTGGATTTATAGCAAGATGGAGGTGAGACCTCTGCCCTGGACCCTGCAGCAAGCAGGCTGGGGACTCCCAAAGGCGGGGAGCATAGGAGAGTTTTGGGCTATCCCTGGGATGTAGGCAGAGGTCCTCCCCAGCCCATCACATTCAGAGATATTCAGGACAGGGTCAAATGTTGGTCCTGGGGCCAACCCTGGCTGCCTGTCTTTCTTTTTCTCCTTTTCTTCCCTCAGGACATAGCACAGGGGGTTGCCAAAAGGTAGAGAGACCCAGGCCAGGTGCCAACCCCATGCCATCCCTTTTTCCCCAGTGATGGCCAAGGTGTGAGTTTGCACAGACCACCGAGGATGGTGTGTAAGAGGAGGCAGGAAATTGGGCATCAGGAATGGGGACCTGCCCCCAACTCTGCTGGCCCAGCTCAGGCTCTGCCTTCCCTGGGTCTCCTGTCTTTAGCAGTAAAGCAGGGCATGTTGTGGGGGATCAGGAAAGGCTGCTCCAGGAATCGGGTATGGTGAGGATCTCAGAAGCTACTTCCATCCTTTCCTTCTGTTGCCCCTCTTCTCTGAGAGGCAGCGCCAGGTGACAGCTGGGCTGAACTGTTGGGCTTCTGCGCTCCCCGCCCACCTTCATCCTGCTCTCCCGTTCTCTTCCTCAGAGTGAAGTGCGCTTCCGGAAATCCTAACGCAGCTGGCCTGCTCCTCCTCACAGCACTGGCTGCTGTGAAGGCTCCGGCCGAAGTGACTTGCCACTTGCAGCATCATCACGGCTAACTGCCACCAGGCACCTTCGTTCTCCCACCTCCACTGTCTGCTGCCTCTGTGTGTGTGCGTTGCTGCTCTCCCAACTTCTTCAGAAACCAGGAGAGCTGTCAACGCTTCTGGAAATCCCAGGCTGGAAGTCATCTGAAGATAAGAGTACAGGTACCATGGATGCTCATACAGAGACGTCTATAAATGGATGGAGGAGGTGCAGCCCAGAGCCCAGGGAAGGGCCTGGAATTCTTGATCCTCTGACCCTGACTTGGAGACTAGCCCAGGGTGGGCAGACATCAGCAGCCCAGGTGATGCCACTGCTGTCCCAGGACAGATAACAGGTTTCGTTGGTGTACCAGCCTCCCAGCGCCTGGACCGTCTTTAGCAGAAAGCTACTCTCAGTGGTGTTATGAGCAGTGCACCCTCGCTTAGGCCTCCTGCTGGTGCCTGGGATGTCAAAAGTTGTGCTCTGGCTAACAGTCGTGATGACTGTGGATAGGTCTCCAAGCATTTGGTCACCAGGCTATTGGGGCAGATTTTATTATTTTATTTTATTTTTATATTCAAGAAATGGAAATAGATGTATTATTAAAGATTCTTTAAAAATTTCAGGAGTCTTGAGCATCAGTCACCCCAAGAACTCTGGGGGACTCATGGAAGTTGTGCCATTTCAGAGTCCTACAAAACATTTCTGGCTCCCAAGGACTGCCTAAAGGACTGGACAAAGTCCCCAGGATGGACATGTCCCCAGTCGGTGCAGCACCTGGAGCTTCTTTGAGATACTCAGGGGAAGCAAATTTGCATTTGGGCTGGTGGGCAAGTCCAATGCAGAGACTCATGAACCATTCCTGCCTGCCAGGGCTCCAACCCAGGCTTGAAGAAATGGACGCCGCCCACTGCCTAGGCTCCTGGGCGCCACAGGGAAGTCCAGGGGGACAGCATCACTCATTCTCAGGGAAAGTTCTAAATCTTCAGGGCTTCTTGTTAGCCTTCACCACCTTTCAGTTTCTCAGTTGTTCCAGAAACTTAGCATTGCAGTAAAAGCTGTCATGGAGAGAACGCTAATCCTGTCCCCAGGTCGCAGCCCCCTCCAATATCTCTTGTGAAGGATCCCAGTTGGCCCTGCTCCTATGAACCATCAGAGGGGCTGGCCTTGCCCCAGCCTTTTCGCTGGGGCAGCTATTTCTCCCCAAGTCTTCCTCTCTTCACCTCCTCAAGCCAGTCTAGGTTCCTTATGGCTTTGCCACAAGGGCAGAGTATAAACAGATCAGCCCAGCCCAGCCCAGCTCAGGCAGGTGGCTCCCAGGGGAAAGACTTCCCCAGAAGAGAAGGCTGGAGTTGGCGGGAGTGCCTGGCCAGGTGTGAAGGGGCTGGATACACTGGGGAATGTTAGCAAGGCTGGGGAGGGGGCCGAGTCCATGTTTACAGCAGCTCCCCAGCAATGGTCTTTAGCAATAAAAATCACATGACCTAAAGAATTTGTCTTTGGATATTTTACTGGCACCCTAATGAAAAAATTGAGATTGCCCATCCAGGTACCCAGACACCTTTCGTTTTGATTCTTAGTTTTGGTTCCTCATCTCTGGGCTCTGACCACTTAGTCACACACTCATTTATTTAGCCATTCGCCAGCCGTATCAGTGCCTACCTTGCACCAGGTACTCAAATAGGTAGGTCCAGGGGATGCAAGGAGCATGACAGCATGAGCATGGAAGTAGGTCACGACCCCGAGTGTTGGAAGCCGTGATTGAGTGGGGTTACCATGCTTGGAACTTGGACAAAGCCGCTGCTAACCACACCTAGAAACATCAGGAAAGCCTTCCCTGAAGAGATCACATTTGAAATGAGTTTCAGCACATCGTTGACAGGCAATTTTACGCAGAAACTCTCCATGTTACTGGGTAACTTATGTCCGCAATGTGTCAAAGAGCAGGTGAGCCTTCACACAGCAGATGGGGGTGGGGCATGTCCTTATTCTCCTTCCTCTGCCAGCTCAGCAACAGGTGTGTTCCCGAGGAAGCCCCAAAGCGTAGGCAGCTATTTCCAAGAGCATTAGATGGATGGTCCCACTGGCCCCTTAAGAAAGATCTCCCCATTCTTGTTCTGCACTTACTTTCTGTGTTTAATATTGATATATTGACCTCAGCCATTATGGTCCCACTGGGGAAGGCCCAGCACTACTACCACCAGCTCACATCTCTAGCCACAGCACAGAATTCTCCAGGTCTGCCCTGTGTATGTGGCCTCTGGGGATGCCTCAAGACTGTTTGCTTTAGTCCTTGATATCAATGCCTGGAAAACTCCCTCCTCCCATCTTTTCCTGTTCCATCTGCACAGGATGGTATGGAGGAGGGGCAGATGTCATGCTTATAGTATTTCAAGTAGGGGTAACACCTACTGTAATAGATCTCGCCATTTCTCACAATTTCAATGGCTTGACCCAATGGAAGTTTATTCTGCATCCTCCTTATGGTTCAGCGAGGGGGCTGTGATCAGTGGGAGGCCGTCTTTTACGTGACTTTTCAGGGACTCCTGTGTCTCCATCTTGTAAGTTTGTCATCCACACTGTCATTGGCTTTGGACCAGAAAGGAAACACGAAGAAGGCACATCTGCTTCTTAAATGCTCTGGCCCAGAAGTACTTTCCACTCTTATTTCATAGGTGCAAACATGTCACAAGGTACCAAGCAGATGACACGGTGCTGGGAAAGGGAGACCTTGGCTGACTCTTCTACAAGAGTGAACACTCATTTTGGAGGCCGGCCAGCCATCTCTGCCCACCAGGGGAAGCTGGCTTATCTCCCCAGAAGCCAGATCCAGGACAGAGTTAGGGCTTAGGGCATTTCTGTTCTTTTTTCCTTAGAAAACAGATCTTTTCCCTTCTAAGGTTTCCTGGGACATAAATTAATTGGCAGGGGTGTAGAGATCTTCGGGGTGGGGAGTCAGAGAAATAAAGGCAGAGAAAAAGAATCAGGATTGGAAAAGAAAAAAAAATACATTCCTTTGGCACAGGGCATCTACAGAGGTTACATCATGGATGGGGGGTGATGGAGCTTCCCAGTTTGGTCTAGAATCTCCTGGGTGGTACATGTGTGTTTCTGGTGGGGAGAGGGAATTGAGGTGACATCGCTCCTGGTCTCTGTGTCCCAGACATCTCTGGGTTGTTAACTCTGGAATGACTCTTTGGCTTCCTCCACTTTGTTGACTGCTGAATTTCCATGCAATTTCCCTGGGGAAGGAGGGAAGAGCCCGAGTACGTTGGGAGTGCGGTTGATGGTGGCTCTTTGGAAAAGGAGCCACTTAACAGCCTCTCAGGGCTCCAGCTGCCTCTGGGCTTTGGTTAGATTCCCAAGGGCCATTGTTTCCCATAATTGCTTAGCCTTTCTGTCCTGATGCAATTGGGTGGACATCAGGACACGCATGTGGAGAGCTCTTGAAATGACGGTGATGAGGATAATGATAATGATAGCATCTGCTGAATGTTTGCTGTGTTCCAGCTGCTGTGCCCAAAACCTGAAGTGCATTATCTTCTGTAAGCACAACAGTCCCGTGAAGTGGCCATTGTGTTTATGCCTATTTTACAGATGAGGAAACAAAGACCAAGGTAGGAAACAAGCCTTGCAAAACTACACTAATACTTTGTGGCAGAGTTGGACTTTGAGTCCAGGCTGTCCGATTTTAAAGCTGCCTTCCTCCTATACTCTGCCAACTATTTTTTTCCCCATACATTGGACGAAGAGTTGTTTTGGGCCACACATTGAATAAACAAACATTAATGAAAGCTGATGGGCAAAAAAAGGGTCTGTGCATAATTTTCATGATATCTGACACCGGAGATAAGCACAATAATCCGCAAAAAATCCACATGTGGCCCACAGGCTGCAGGTTGGACACCCCTTTGACAGTGGTGCTTTCCAAAGGCAGGTGGAGTTCTCCCACCTGTGACTTCATAGGGCCCACCATCTGGCTCTGTGTGTCTTTCCAGGAGGAGCAAGGTAAGACAACTCCCCGGAGAAGGCTGGGCACACCCCTCAGAGTATCAGATGGGCAGAGAGTTAGGACATGTAGTTTCTGGAGCCTTGGACAGGGACATCAGGAGCGAGAGGAGGCTCCTGGCCTTTCCCTCATCCCTGTTCACTGATGGTTTCAGGGAGGCTCTGCCAAACCATGTCAAACTGTCTTCCCAAACACCTCCATGTCTCACTGGTGTGGGTACATGTTTCCAAGAGGCCCATGACATTCATTCTCTGCCTCCTTTGCACTCTCCTGTCCTTTAGGACAGCTGCTGCCCAGCGAGCAAGTAAGAACCACACTGGTCTCACAGTGGGCCCTTCCAGAGAACAGGGCGGACCATGCCCTGGACCCCAGGGAGGAGGTATCGTGAGATGAGACCTCTGAGAAAGGTGAGGACATGGCCTGATCTTCATCCTCACTGCTCAGCTCCCTCTAGGGGGACATGGGACTTGGACATAAGAGGATGCCTTCTCTGTCCAAGCCCTAAGTCTCAAAGGAGGGTTTTCACTTTTTATACAAGGAAGGAGCTGGGAATCTGCTTTGAACAATCCCTCCTAAATACACTGCGCTGAGGTGGAGAGAGCACTGGAGTTGAAAGTGGAACACCTGAAGGGACAAATTCCAGCTCTGCCACTTACTTAGCCATGCGATCGTGGGTGACCCACCCTCTCTGTTTCTTCGGATGTAAAATGGGTGTATGTAGCCCACATTGTTTGTGGGATTAGATGGGATGATACCTGTAAACACGTAGAGCAAAGGGTTTGCCTATGGCAACCTCTCAACAAATGTTGGATTTATAGCAAAGGGCCACATCCTTCACCCCCAGATCCCTTCTGATTAGGGATAAGGAGGTTATAAGGATATAACCTCCTAAAAGGAGGTTAAAAGGGGCTGCAGGGAGGTGGGACAGAATTATG